CGTCGTGCAGGCATCACCCCGGAACCACTGGATAGTGTGCCCGCTCGCCCTGGCCTCTGTCAAGAGGCTGGGGGTCTTTATCATCACCACCGCCGTCATGAACGCGATGGACGCGGTGCTGACGATGGATATGTACCGCAGCGCGGTCACGCTCTTCGGCACGGACAATGGCAACACCACCAGCAACGAGCTCAGTATGAGCGTCTGCCGCGACGTGTCGTTGTTCCCGAAGGCAGCCGACTGCACGATGCCCCCGAAGAAATCCCCGATGAGCATCATGTAGATCAGCACCGCGGCCAGGCCGTACAGGGCGATGACCGCGTCCACGACGGGGCTGCGGCCCGAGCCCTCGCCCGCCCCGCTGGCGGCGCTGGCCGACACCAGCTCCGCGAAGGACTTGCACTCGGTGTACCTCTCGGATGCATCGAAGCGGCGTGGTGACGGACCGTGCGGTGACACACCTGGAGTTAGGTCGGGCCTGTCCCCCTACAGGGGAATGTCGGGCGAACAATTAAAAATACGCAAAAACTACTCCGGAAAATGCTCAAAACTAATCAACTAATCGTCCCCAGACAATTTTTGGACTATTTCTGAGTATCCCTCCTGTAGAGGGACACGCCCGACTGAACCCTGGAGGCCCCACTCAGAGTCCTCGGAGATCGACTCGTGTCCCCCAAACCGTGCGGTCGCCCCGGATCCCCACCGACTAGCCCTAGCGCGCGGAGCGCGCCAGGGGCGGCGTCGGAGGCGTCGCCAGGGGGGCCCCCAGCCCCGATCCAAGAGATCCGCCTGGACCTCCGACAGGTCCTGTTCATGCAGTTTTTTTTGTGTGTGCCTTCGAGGGAGCAGGAGAGGGGTAGAGCAGGAGGAAGCGAGGAAAAGGAGGAACGAGGTACAGGCCTCGGAACAAATTAGCGAACAGCCATGCCAAATTCATCTGTCAACGCCTCCCCCCTCCCCCCAATGTTCAAAGTTGGCGGTGGGTCTGACGAGATGCACTTCGACCGCAGTGTTTCCCGCGCGTGCCAACCTTGAGTTGGGGGAGGGGGAGTGTTCAGGAATTGCTTCCCTCTGCCGCAGGAGGAGGCGGAGGAGCAGGAGGAGGAGGGGGAGGAGAGCCTCGCGCAGCTCATCAGCACCACCAGCCCCACGTGCGCCAGCGCCGCGCCGCAGGCGAGCAGCAGCAGCCCCAGGCCCAGGCCGCTCTGCCGGAACATGTGTGGCAGCGACAGGCACCCGGCGCCCACGGCTCGGGGGCTGCCCAGAGGCCTCCTTGGCTCAAGGCGCCCCCAGGACTTCCCAGGAGCCTCCTCCTCTTCCTCCTCCTCCTGCTTCCTCCTCGTCCCTCCTCCTCCTCCTCCTCCTCCTCCTCAGCCTCCTCGTCCTCCTCGTCTCCTCGTCCTCCTCCTCTTCTCCCCCTCCTCCTCCTCCTCCTCCTCCTCCTCCTCCTCCTCCTCCTACAGCTTCCGAGAGCACTCCTCACGTGGCCCAGAGGGCCCCCCGTGGCTCCAGGTTGGGGCGGACGCTGGGGGCACACTGGGCCAAGGACACCCTTCGCGACCCCCGGATGGCAGACGCAACCAGCGTGAACACGCCGCTGACCACGGAGCCCTTGCGGATCACCCCGCTCTTCGCGAAGCCCACCGCCTCGTCGATCGTCTCCAGCGGCTCCAGCTCGTACCGCCGCAGGCCGTCCAGGAACCGGCTGCTTGTGCGCGGCAGGCTGGGATCCCTGCTGCGCGCAGCCACGTCCACGAACAAATTGTCGCTCGACGTGCTCCTGCTCCTTGGGTGGGGGACATAAAAATGCCAATGCAGCTGTTCCATAGACTTCTCCCTGGGCCCCAAACATCCGATGACATGATTTGTCAATGCGCGGGCTTGGAGGTACCGACCCTTTCTGGGCCCAACTTCTGTCTCGAATCCATGTTTGACGGCCCGGGTCCTAATAACGGGCTCCTGAGGTCGAGATCGAGGCAAACACCGCCGGTTGAACAAATCAGATCGTCGGAGACATCTGGGGTGTGCACTGGCGAGAATTTCGAAGAGAATACAGCCATGGCGACGAGGGCTCTCCAGGACGAGCTTGGCCAATCACATGCGAACCCGACCCCTGCAGCTCAGATTTCTGAAACTGCCTCTGGGGTTCAGAATCCCAAGGGTGTCCGCGGCCAGGTGACCCCCACGAGGGTATCTGACACCCCAGCAGCGGTTAGATCTGCAGGGGTAGGCTTCGCACTGCACAGAGCAGCGGCACCCGGCACCTCCTCAGACACGCGACGTCCCCCCCCCTCCCGGACGTCCCGACCGTGTCCCTGGCTTGTCGTCCCCCGTTGTTCCTCCTGGTGACCAGCGAGGGCCACCGAAAGCCGAAAACCCTTCAGTGCTGGTTCTTGATGGGCCGGCTTTCCACCACCACCACCACCACCACCACCACCACCACCACCACCACCACCACCATACGTTGGAGGGGGAAAGGAGGAGGAGGAGGAGGAGGAGGAGGAGGAGGAGGAGGAGAGGAGGTGGGGAGGAGGAGGGGAGGAGGAGGAAAGGGGGGGGGGAGGAGGCGGAGGAGAAGGAGGAGGAGGAGAAGGAGGAGGATGAGGAGGAGGAGGACAACGAGGAGGAGGTGGAGGAGGAGGAAGACCCATTCCCCCAACTTATGGTGCTGGCGGTGGAAAACAAGCCCATGGATTCTGTCCACGGCGCGAGCACGTTATCCACTCCGAAGGCCCCGCGGGGGGCGCCTCCAATGAGGCAGAAGGCTGCACAAGCGCAGGGTTTCGAGGTTCCCTCGGGGGGACGGAGGAAGAGGAGGAGGAGGAGGAGGAGGAGGAGGAGGAGGAGGAGGAGGAGGAGGAGGATTGGGAGGGAGGGAGGCAGGGAGGGAAGGGGATTGGGAGGAGGAGGGAGGGAGGGATGGAGAGGAGGAGGAGGAGGAGGAGAAGGAGGAGGGAGGGGGAGGGAGAAGAATGAGCAGGAGGAGGAGAGGAGGAGGGAACGAGAGGGAGGGGGAGGAGGAGGAGGAGGAGGAGGAGGAGGAGGAGGTGGAGGAGGAGGAGGAGGAGGAGGAGAAGGAGGAGGAGAAGGAGGAGGAGGAGGAGGAGGAGGAGGAGGAGGAAGAAGAGGAAGAGGAGAAAAACGAGGAGTGTCATCCGTTCAACTGCGCCTCGCCAGCAGACTCCAGCAGTAGCGGATTCGTGCCTGCAGCACGACGACCCAACAGCGTTGCCTGGGACGCAAAACCTGGCGGCAGCGTGCCGCGTCTGGACAAGCCCTCTACCTACACTGCGGGAGCGGAAGTGAGCGAACAGGTCTGGGCCTCCCTCGAGCGAATTTTTGCCTGCAGCACGACGACCCAACAGCGTTGCCTGGGACGCAAAACCTGGCGGCAGCGTGCCGCGTCTGGACAAGCCCTCTACCTACACTGCGGGAGCGGAAGTGAGCGAACAGGTCTGGGCCTCCCTCGAGCGAATTTTTGATTCGCGGCCATGGCGGGCGTTGCGGGGAGGATGGGGAGGAGGGGGGCATAACGCAGCGCCCCCCCCCCCACCCCCCCGAGCCTGTGGTGCCAGACGCACTGCGGCAGTGCTGGGGACGCACTGCGGGGGGGAACGTTGCGTTATGGGGGGCAGGGGGGGGGGGCAGGGGAGGGGTGGAGCACCACGCGCGCTGTGGCCCGGAGGGCAACCAAGCCACTCTCCTCCCCCGAGCTCCTGGACCCCCTGGTCGGGCTCGCGCTCCAGCTCGTCTGGCGCCCGCGCCCGCTCGCCTCCCCCCTGGCCGGCGGCGGGCCGCCGCTGGGCCGAGGTCTCCGCGCCGCCACGGCCTCGCCGCCGACCTCCGGCCGGGGCGGGGCTTTTGCACCCCGCGCCGGGGGGGGGGGGGAGGCGGGCGAGGGCCTCCTCGACAGAGACGTCTGCTGCCACCCGACGAGGGCGCAGGAGACCTCTGGCGCAGCGGGGTGCCCCCTACGGAGGCCCCGCGGTCGCAGATTACTCGTCCTCCTCCTCCTCCTCCTCCTCCTCCTTTTTCGTCGTCGTCCTCCTCCTCCTCCTCCTCTTCCTCCTCCTCCTCCTTCCTGGTCCTCGTCCTCCTCCTCTTCCATTTCTCCTCCTCCTCATCCTCCTCCTCCTCTCCCTAGTACCTCCTACCTCCTCCCAGTCTCCTCCTCCTCCTCGTCCTCTTCCCTCCTCCTCCTCCTTCCTCGCCTCGCTCTTCCTCCTCCTTCTTCTCCTTCACCCTCCTCCTCCTCCTCCTCCTCCTCCTCCACCGCCTCCTCCTCCTCATTCCTCACCTCATCCTCCCATCCTCATCCTCATCCACAATCAGCATCAGCATCATCATCATCAATCATCAATCATCATCATCATCATCATCATCATCATCATCATCATCATCATCATCATCATCATCATCATCATCATCATCATCATCATCATCATCATCCGCCCTGGCGCAACCGCACTGGTTGTGGTCGCTGCCCACCTGGGCGCCGTACTGCGCCACCCAGGCGGGCGCGGCCATCGCGCGAGGAGGCGCTGCAGAGCCGCTGCAGCGCCTCCGTAGGGCCGCCTCGGGCCAGGGCGCCTCGGCTGCGGGCGCCAGGCGCGCTGGATCGCAGGCCGCGCTCGCGCACCCCCTTCCCCGGGAGAGGGCGTGCTGGGAGACGCCCCCCCTCTCCCCTGGGCCCCTCCTGGATACCCTGAGATCCTGGCGTTTCGATTTGTTCGAGCCGGGCGTTGTCGCCTTTCTTCGGGCCCAGGACCCTCACAGATCGTTCCGGCCCGAAAAGTGAGGCAGGAAGATGGGGTCTAGGGCTCTGGGCGTGATGTTGTACGATGTTGCATTTTTTGCCGCCACGTCGGATCTCAGGGTACGGCGAGGGCACTGGACAAGGAACAATTGGATAAAGAATCAAGGGTCTGGAAGCCGGTTGCACTCCGATCGTGGGTAGGCCACGGATGTCTCCACCGCCCACATCAGATAAAGGAATCCCCCAGGGTCTGAAGCCTCCTGGCCACTTTCCTTAACCAGCGCCCCCACCGTACCCTCTCGGCAAGCGTGTGCCGACAAGCGCCCTGCCACGGCGTCGAGGGATCCCGCCCCCGCAAGAGCCGAACAACAAATCCCTCGCCCCCGCGAATTGCAGGAGCGCGTGCTTCGCGAAACGCGCAAGCGGCCGTGCGAATTGCATTTTCATCGGGGGGGCGCCCTTTATCGCGAGGATCGGAGCGCCCTCCCCTCGGGGAGCCCGAACCGAGGCCTCCCCCATCGTCCCCGTCCTTCTCCTCCTCCCTCCCTTCTCGTCCTCCTCCTCCCTCGAAGTCGTGGTCTTCCTCCTCCTCCTCCTCCTCCTCCTCCTCCTCCTCCTCCTCCTCCTCCTCCCCGAGCCCTCTGGAATCTGCCGCAACTCGAAAAAAGACCGTCCCAACTGATGACACTGGTGTCAGCGGTGCACTGTAACAACGAAAACGCCCCATCCGATGAACACACAAAGGACCCCACCAGCTCAGATGACCCCACCCCCTAGACACCATCCCAAAGAACCTTGGAACTCCTGGGAGGCCCCCGTGGGGCCTCCTGGAGGCCCATGGCGCTCGCCATCCTCCGGGGCCTCACAAAGGGTAGGAGGGCTATGCGCCACCTCTCCCCCTGCCGGGGGCACCCGTGGGGCCTCAAGCATCGCCTGTGGAGGCGCTGGAGGCTCCTGGGCTCCCTCGTGGCGCCCTGGCGCTTCAGCTGAGCGGCCCCTGGGACCTCACCGCGGGCGCCTGGAGCAGTCCTAGAAGCTCTTGCTCTTTGATGACTTCGGCCAGGAACTTGCAAGCACACGTCGACGCCAGCCTTGGCCAGGCCCATCGTCGGCAATGGTGTGCAGATCCTCCCGGCCTGGGCCGCGAGCGGGTACACACCAATACAGGGGCCTTGATGGGTCTGGTGAGCGCTGGTGCTGTGGAGTTTCCGATGAGAGGCCGGTGGTGTGTGGCTTCAGAAGGTTCTTCCCCTGGGAGCTCACCTGTGACCTTTGGGAGCTCCTGGGCGCCCTTGGCTCCCTTGGGGGGGGAGCTGTATGCCTTCCGGAAGCCCTCGCAGACCGCAGAGGCTGCAGAGGTATATGCCCCCGAGAGGCCTCCAACGAAGCCTCTTTGTCCACGGCCCAGGCACGGTGGCGGGATGGGCCGAAGGCCACTAGACCCGCGGCCCCCTGTTGGCTTGCAGTTGTGTGCCTGGCTTGCAATCTACTTCTAGCACGTTTCCAGCCGCCTCTTGCCCAACCTGCTGACCACCCAGAAGAATCCGTACTTCAAGAAAGCTCGTCTCCAAGATCGCCAAGATGGCCTCCAAGACGATGCAAGAGGGTCCACGGATGCCTCCAAAACGGCCCAACAAGGTCCATGTGGCCTCACAGTTCGCCCAAGATGCCTTCAACACGGCCCATGATTGCCCCAAGATAGCCTCCAGACATCCCAAGAGGGCTCCAAGAGGCACGCCAGGAGGACCCGATGAGGCCAACAACATTGATGTCACGCATAATGTTCAATGATTTTCGCGTTCTCGCCTTGGATCCTCCACGACGGCCAGACAGGGCCCTGAGACGGCCTACACAAGAGTCCGATGGGCCAAGGGAGCCCTAATACGGCACATCCTCCTCATTTCCTCCCCAGAGTGTTTCCCCAAGGGTTTCCACAACGGCTGAGGGAGCACATAGTCCAACATCTTGGCCAGAGTTTGGCCCAACGTTTGGCTACACGGCGCTTGCAAAAAACACGGCGCGGCGGTGGTTCGCCGTAGGCGTCTTCGATCCGCTAGCCTTATAGCCTGCG